TTAATTTTTTTTTTTTCAACGTTTATTTATTTTTGGGACAGAGAGAGACAGAGCATGAACGGGGGAGGGGCAGAGAGAGAGGGAGACACAGAGTCGGAAACAGGCTCCAGGCTCTGAGCCATCAGCCCAGAGCCTGACGCGGGGCTCGAACTCACGGACCGCGAGATTGTGACCTGGCTGAAGTCGGACGCTTAACCGACTGCGCCACCCAGGCGCCCCGGCCCTGCCTTTCTTGCTTGTATCCTCTCCCTGGGGACTTCATCCACTTCCAAGGTTGCATCTGTCACCTGGGTGCTGCTCTCTCCCGAATTAAGTTGTCTAGTCCAGAGAATTGTCCTAAGCGATAAATCCGTATTTCCGTTGCCCGGGAGACCTCTCTTGAAGGTCCAAAGGTACCTGGAATCCAACAGGGCAGAACGAAATTGCCTTCTGCTGTGAGCGGACTGCCATCCCCTGTTGCCCACATCAGCATCTCAGGGTTGTCCCCCCTTCCTTACTTGCATGGAGCTGATTGCCAGACTGGGCTGCCTCCCCACCTGGCCTGCCCTGGACCGGGCTCCCAGCATCTCTCTCAGCAGCAAGGCCCCTGGTGACCTGCCCTTGGCCACGACTTGACCCTCAAAGCCTCTGACCACACTGAACCTTCAGTGTCCGTCTCTCCTGCCTCTCGTTTCCTTGAGCTTAGAGCGCCTTCTTTCATCACCTCCTCTGCATGGCAGCTGGTGACTTAGTCGTCCTTTCCAACTCTGCACATGTCACCTCATCCGGGAACACTTCTGTGACACCACCCTCGGATCGGGTCTGTGCAGCCCTCAGTGCCCTTAGAGCCCCCCTGCTCACCTCTTAAAACACTAGCTGCCCTGTAATAACCACTGTAATATCACCTCTGCCCCTCTGTCTCCCCCACCAAGGTCTGGGGCTCTCTTATTCCTGTGCATCAAAACAGTGCCATATGATTATTGAGTAATCAAGGAGGACTTCCTGGGAGAGGTGATTGTTAAGTGGCATTTTGTAGGCAGCCATAAAATGGTGCGAAAAGGAGGATATAAGTGAACTGGGTAGAGTGTGTGGGTGGGTGGTTAGTCTCAGACTCTGACTTCTTCAGGAGTAGGGAAGATAGAGAAATGACTATATTTAATTGGCGGGACGGAGGGTGGGGGACACCGGCAGAAAGCACGCCTCAGTGACTGGCATCACAGTCTGGAGAAAGCACAGGGGTTTGCTGTTGCTGGTTTCAGGTGGCAGGGCTGGGATGGGGGGTGGCACCGTGTGGTACAGATGGAGGGAGGCAGTTGGGATAGAGCCGCTGGTGGGCTCCTTTAGAAACCAGCAGGTGGGGTGTGACTTTGCCCACCCTCCCTGGCACGACTTCCAGGTGTCTTGGAGGCGCTAGGCCTGGAGGTGCTCACTCGCAGGCTGCCGGGCCGGCCCCGGAAGCCACAGGTGGGCATGTTGGACCAGAGACACAGGAAGCAGGGACGCCCTTCCCTTTTCTTCTCTGAGCCCTCCTGAATGGATGGAGCCCACCGTCCCTGTCGGGGGAACCGGGTCCAAGGCGGACGGGGTGTTTGAGACCACAGGTGAGATGAGTCCTATTGTAGTCCCTTCCAGGCCAAGGAATTACAGACTTGAGCCTCCGTGTGAATAAGACGCAGGTAAACACAGCACGCTGGGTGGGGATCAGGCATCTGTGTAGATGCTGGTAGAGGAGGTGCTGGTTGCCGTTTCGGCCACAAGAGGGCGCACAGGCTCCAGGAACGGTTTCTCAGGGCTGGCCAATAAGGTGTCCAGGAGGGGTGGCTAGATGTGAGAGCATTGGCTGCAGATGGGACACTGGGACTCAACTCTCACCTTTCAGAATCACTCTGTCATTGTCCCTAGCACGAGGGCCATTCGTGGGTTCATTGATGTAAGAAGCATTTGCCGAGAACCTGGGGTGGAGGTGGGGCCAGCTCTGAGCCAGCAGGCTCTGGGGAGGTAGAGTCAGACAAGCCCACGTGGATGTTGTGGGGGAGCACACAGTCTGGGCAGGGAGTCTGACCGTCAAAACTGCAGTCTCCGTGTGGCGTGTCTGTGCTGTGACAGACGGACATGCCGAGTGCAGTGGGGGCGAGTGTTGATTCTGCTTGCGACTTGGGGAAAGGCTTCCCGCTGTGGGTAGTATTTGCTGTGGGTCTTGAAGAGTGAGTAGGAGTTCATCAGGCCAAAAAGGGAAAAGGCAGTCCCGGCAGGGGAATGTCCTGAGCTGGGGCCTGGAGGCAGGAACCCAAGCTGGCTAGGCAGGTGAATGTCCGCTGGGAGGAGGCTGGCTGGCAGAGGGTGTTGGCTACTGGGTTGGGGGCGAGATGGGGAGGGAGGAGTCTGGGCAGATCCAGGTTGTGTGGGGCCGGAAGCTTCTAAGGTTTTGGAGGCTTCTTGGAACACGAACACCAAACTGGGCAGAGGGGCTTGGAAGGGTGCACGTAAGCGAGAGATCTGAGGCTTAAGCTTATTAGCTGCATGGAAAATCCCCCTGTGCGTGGGAGACACATCTGTGACATCTTCCCTGCTTCCTTTTAGATTTCCTGCCTGCCCTCAGCAGCTGGCTTCCCTCGGGCAGCAAAGAGTTTCTGCTTTCTCCCTCCCTTCGCGGGTGCCCCGGAGCCTCCGGCAGTGGTTCGGGACCAGATTCAGGAAACCAGAGTCCGGGGCTCTCCTGGAGGCAGGGAGGCCGTGCTGCTCTGCTGGGGGAGGGGGCTGGGGATGGCTTTTCACACCCAGTCTATGCAAATAGTGGCCCACAATTTTTCCACGGGGCGTCTGTAACTCTGTCCAGGTTAACGCCTTAAATAATTCACAGGTGTGGAGCATTTTCTGTGGCCCAAGCACTTTTCACACCTCGCCGCACCCGGGTGAAGGGCAGGTAAACCGTTCCCGCCGCAGAAGGTTCATGATTGGCCCAAGGATACCTGGCGTGCTGTACCCTGGCGGGTGGACCTCACGCTCGGCGCCCTCGCTGCTTCACCCTGTTGCCTCTGGCTCGCTGTCAGCTCGACAGATACTTAACCCCGAGATCGTTCTTCTTGGGCACCTGCACAGGGCAATGATTCACCATGGAAGTGAAACCACAAATGATGTGGCTGGCTTTGATACTCTCCTGTCTTGCTGTGTTTTGATGGTAAAGGCATACGCACAGGTAGGGTGGAGCTTGACCGCCTTTCTGACCCCGTCTGTGTCGACATGGTGGTGAGAGCACGTTCTCACCTTTACCCCCTTCCTGGGCTGATGGGAGCGCTCACACCTGGGTGACCTCTCCATCTCAGGCTGTCACCCGTGCAACAGATCTCTGAGACTCAGCACTGATTTGCAAGATTTCCTAGGTGGCTTGAAGCCTGTATTTAATTTGGGCGTCTCAGCCAGGGCAGGGCGAGGAGAGGGGTGGCTGCTAATTCCAGCGGCTTTCATCAAGCAAGCAGTACTAAGCATCTGCTGTGTTAGACACTGTGCGAGCCCCGTAAGGATAGAGCTGAATCAGCCGCACCTTGTCCTCGCGGCTCGCTTCGGCATCTGCCTGTTCCGGGTACGGAACTGGGCGGGGAGACGGGAACATGGACGAGCAGCCAGCCATGTGTCTGTGCATGAGAAGCTCACGGAACATTTCAGGGTGTCAGCAGAGAAGAGGAAAAGGCCTGACATCATCTTTACAAAACTGGGAAGGACAGTTTCTCTGCTTCTGGTGCCATCAGCTTTAGTGAAAAGCAGTGGCTTTGACCTGCCCTGATTCTTGGCCCCAGACACAGGCAGAGATGAACCTCTGACCATCTTCACAAAAATGTAGAGTAGAGCCTTCTCTCTCTGTCTCTCTCCTGCTTCTCCTAATGGCAAGGATCAGAAATGGTGGAGTATATGGAATCCAAGCGTATTTCTGCTCCTGGACAAGTTCTTTGGCAGGGACTTAAGGAAATAGGATGGGAATGGGTCAGGGGAGGTCAGTGGAGACATTTTCTCCAAAGGCTGCACAAAGGTTTGGGAGCCTCTGGTGTGGGGTTTAGTACACATCAGGGTGAGTAGGGCTACAAGAGAGAGAAAAGGGGGGGGGGATCACCCAAGGATTCAAGTGTTTCTAGATGCTTCAAGGCCAGATGCAGAAAACCCCAAAGCCTCCGAACCTGCAACCATACAAAACAGCCCGAGTTTAGTGTATTGTCTGCAACATGCACGACTCAGCCTGTGCTGTGGCCAGGAAGCAAGAGGCTTGGGTGATAAGGATCACCTCTGAGGCTAGAGGACCCCTGGGGTGCTCAGAATGAGTACCTGCCTCTGTGTGTGTGTCAGCTGTCTCCCCTCCTCCCTTCTCCCCCTAAACATCTGGCAGACATCAACAAGAAGAGTCAAAGAGTGAAAGCCTCCTTGCCCTTGAACTTTCCCAGAAGCTGCGGGAGCCTGGAGACAGCAGAGGTGGCTGATGGTCGGTATGAGTGGCTGAGAGCCAGCGCTCTAGCTCGCCTGGGCTGTGCATGACTTCTGGTCCACTCGAGCAGGGGCCTGGCTTTGGGCAGGGGCCTCAGCGCAGGTACCCCTGGCTGGCCCTGCAGCACCTGCTCTTTGCAGGCTTTGGAGCTTTGGGACCTCTGGGGCCACCCCATGCCTAGGATAATACCTGGGAGAAAGAAAATGCTGTGTGATTTCCCAAAGCCCTTTTGTCTTCCCTCGTATGAGTCTCTCAACAGTGCCACAAGGCATATATATATCAGTTATTAGCTCTTCGTTTGACGGAAGATGAGCTTGAAGTTCCCAGTGGCTCACCCAGGATTGCACACTAGTGTGTGCTGGGGCTCCAGGGCACGTCCCTCGGAAGGTAAGCTCTGTGCTCCGTCTGGGACTCTGAATGGACTTTACAGAGCCTCCCTAAACCCTTTGCTCCTGAGAAGCCTGGGTCCTCCAGTCCCTAGAGACCCTGATGCAGCAGAAGGTAGTGTGAACTCAGTGGGACGGGTGCCCCCAACAACTCCTCAAACCCTCCCTCCCTCCCTCCCTCCCTCCCTCCCTCAGCATCTG